AATGCTTTTCAGGTCCATCCAAGGATGAATGGGTGTTGTTACTAATAGCCTAGTGGTAAGAAACTGCACAGCAATCCTGAAGGCACACCATTTAGACCCACCAGCTCCTCCATGGGAGAAGGAGAGGCAGTGTCCTCCCAATGGATCAATTGTTTCTGAAAACCTGCTTAAGGATTAACTATGGGTCAGTTTCAACTCAATGATAATCAACAACAACAACATGCCATTAAGTGGACTATCAATCCTTGTGACACTATGAACAGCAGATCAAAATCGTATCTTATACTATATACTCCTCACAATCTCTACCATGCTCACATTCATCCAGGGAGTCACAGTTTCAATCCATCTGACTGAGAATGTTCCTCTCTTTCATTGGCCCTCTACTTTTCCAAACATCGTGTCTTTTCCCAGGGACTGACATGCCCCTATACAATGTCCAAATTAAGAGAGAAGTTTCACCATCTTTGGCTCTAAGGAACACTCTTGTTGCATTTCCTCCAAGACAGATTTGTTTGGTTGACTTCCCCCCACCCCCATGACAGTCCATGATATAATCAGTACTCTTCACCAATACCACAATGCAAAGGAATAATTCTTCTTTGGTTTTCCTTATTCGTTGTCAGCTTTAACATGCATATTGAAAAAACATGCATTTGAAATTATGATGGCTTATGTCAGGTGACCGTTAGTCTTTAAATAGGCATTCTTTTTTTTCTATAATTATATTTTATTAATTTTCATAAACATTTACAGAGATTTTGGGTTTCCATTCATTCATTGTTGCACTATTCTCTCTACCCTCCTCCCAGTCTGTTCTTGTCCAAATGCCACAGTACTTGTCAAAGCCAGTTCTGATTAATCTCCTTTGTCAGTGTGTCCTTTGCCATTCCCTATCACTCCTCCCTGAGAGAGACTTCACCCTGAGTCATAAGGAAAAGGGGACGGCGTATTCTCTTAGCTACTTCCTGCTGAAAAGTGACGCTGTGGGTTTCAGGGTGAAGATCTTCTCTCACTACTCTAAAGGGCCCCTTTGGCAGTAGGAAACACATAGATTTTATGGAGATTGATTTTAGAATTTAGATGCACTCTTGTACTTTAGAACCTTAAAGGGGTCCTTCACAGCAGATTTTCTCAGTGTTACATGTCTTTTGATCTCTTTACTGCTGCTACCTGTGGGTGTTGATTGTGGATCCAAGTAAAATGAAATTTTTGACAGTTTTAATCTAACAAGATTTTTTTTTTATTTCAATGAACATCTACAGAGATTTTGGAATTCCATTCATTCTTTGTTGCACTTTTCTCCCCGCCCCCCCCCCCATTCGCTCCTCTCCTTACTCTAAAAAGATTTTTAACTATTGGTCTAAGTGTGAGGACTGTTTCCCCCTTGATATGAAGGTGACATCTATATTGAAGGCTTTAACTTATTATATCATTTAGTAAAATATTCAAGTCTTCTTGACTTTATGCAAGCAAGGTTATGTCATCTGTATTATATAGGTTGTTGATAAGTCTTCCCCCAAACCTGATGCTACATTCTTCTTCATGTAGTCCTGCTTCTCAATTTGCTCAGCATACAGATTAAATTGATTTGGAAAAAGGATACAACTCAGATGCATATCTTTCCTGATTTTAGAAAATGCCGTATTTCCTTGTTTTGTGAAAGAGACTGCTTCTTATTCTGTTTGCAAGTTTGAATTTCACATAAACACAATTAAGTGTTCTGGAGTTCTTAAACTTCTTATTCATAATATATTATAAACCACACAGTCAAATGCCTTCTTGTAGTCAATAAAAGAAAAGTAAACATCTTTTTTGTATTCCAACAATTATTATGTTAAAGAGATTAACTTGTTCTGGAGTATTACTACTTGCAAAACTGTAAATTCATGTACCAAGAATAAACAAAATTTAACTTTTTCTTTAGTATTCATGATGAGCTACAAGTAAAGAGAGGTGTTAAAAAGAAATTAATCCCAGAAAAGATTTCTTTACCTTGCTGACATAAGAAATAGTGAATTTCATTTGCTATAGACGTGGATAATAGTTATACTAAACTTATTTTATATTTGTTAAGTTTAGCAAAACAATGGTGTAATCCAATCATAATCTTGACCAGCAATGTTATGAAGTAGCTCTACAGGAATCCAAGGTTTCCATTTTAATGGAAACAAAACCAGCCAAATGCATAGATAAACACATTCTAAATTTTCATATAATGAATTGTACTGTGATAAAATAAAGCCTAAGAAATATCTTCAATGCTGGTGCCCTAATAATGCTTTTAGACTTTTTTCCCCTTTCAGCTCTGATAGCAGTGGGATGCCACTTTTTTTCTAAGGACAGAAGGAAAGAAAATCTGCTGCTGTCTAAAATACATATAACAAGTTAGTCCTTGCAAACATGCTCAATGCCAACAAATCCGAAATTCCTGAGAGCTGACCCTCCAGTGGATTTTCAGAGACTGTAAATTGTTTAGGAGGACATTGCCCATCTTTCTCCCAAAGAACAGTTAGTGGACTCAAACTGCCTGCTGTTGAGTTTGCAACTTTTTACCACTTGTCCACCAGAGTTTCCTAAATTACTGCTTAAAAAGTATGTATGGAATGTTATGATAGGACAAAGTAGTAGCAGTGGTCAGACAAATGGAAATGGTGGGGAAACAAAAATATACATGTGAAATAAACCCAGTATTTTTTTTTTTAAGACACTGTCAGGGAGCTCTTGTAGCCTAGTGGCAAGAAGTTGTACTACAATCCCAGAGGCATGCAGTTCGAATCCACCAGATGCTCTCCTGGAGAAGGAGGTGCAATCTCCTCCTGTACCAGTCAGATCCGATTTGATGGTACACACACAAAATAATAAAACAAAAAAATAAAAATAGTAAAAAAAAGAAAATAGAAAATACACTGTCATATTTTTCTTCAAGGTAATATGGTGATGTTAAATTTCTCATACCTATAACTAGCGTGTTGTTGTTGTATGCCATTGAGTAGGAACTGACCCACAGTTGACCCTCCAGTGGATTTTCAAGGACAGAAAATGTCAGGGAAGGAGATTGCTCATTCTTCTGTGGAACTAGCATATTGGTACTATTATATACCTTCAGCTCTTCTATCTTTAAAATAAGTAATTATATCGAACTAAAAGCAGTGGATTGTGTGAATGGGGTTTGCACCAGACATACATAAAAATGCTGTTTTGGTTATTACAGCTTTGAGTAGGTTCAGAATCATGTTAATACTCATTGCTTTTGGAATACTGTAAATCCTGACAGTAGTAATAGTAGTAGTTGTTGTTAGGTGCTGTCGAGTCAAATACAAACCATAGTGACCCTATAAACAACAGATCAGAACCTTGACCTATCCTGTGCCATCCTCTCACTTCCTGACACACTAAAGGCCATTGTGGCAGTCATTGTGTCAGTCCACCTAGTTGAGAGTCTTCTCCTTCACTGACCCTTTTCTTTCCAAGCTCAATGGCCCTCTCCATAGAATATCCTCTCCTAGCAACATGCCCAAAGAATGTGAGGTGAAGTTTTGTTACCTTTACCTCCAAGAAACACCCTGGCTGCACTTTTCTTAAAACATATTTGTTGGTTCTTTTGGCAGTCCATAGGATGGTCAGTATTTTCTTCAACACCACACCTCAAAAGCATCAACTCTTCTGTCATTCATTGCCCTTTCAGATGTATAGCAAGTGATCAAAAAGGTCATGTCCCAAATCAGATGAATATTAGTCCTCAAACTGACATCATTGCTCCTCAAAAATTTAGAGAAGTTCCTGAATGCAGACTTTCCCAGTGCACTATACCCCCTGATTTCCTGACTGCTGATACCAAGGGTGCTGATTGTGGATCCAAGTGAGATTTGATTGTTGATAGTTTCAATCTTTTCTTCATTTACCGTGATGTTGTCTATTGGTCTCGTGATAAGAATTTTTGTTTTCTTGATATTGAGATGTGGTCCATTTTGAAGGCTGTATTCTTTGATCTTCTGCTACAAGTGCTTCAAGTCCTGCTCACTTTCTGCAAGCAAGGTTATCATCTGCATAACACAGGTTATTGAAGACTCTTCCTCTGATATTGATTTCACATTTTTCACAGAGTCTAGCTTCTCAATTTGTGATTATCAGTCAAATAATAGTAAAATGAGTTATGATTCATAGTTGGTTGAATTCTGAGAGCCTCTAATTTAAAGCAGTTGGACCTGGATGGTAGATCTTTTTTTTACTTGATCAACAGTTGGTTTGGGGCTGGGAGCCTCTTATTTAAAGCAATTAGAACTCAGTAGATGGGCCTTTGTGATTAACAGTAAGTTTAGGGCTAGCAATCTCTTCTTTTTTGGGGAGCGGGTTTGTTTGTTTTTACAAGTTTAACCCAATGATTTATTTGTGGAAACAAAAGACAGTTTTGATGAACAGTTCAATTCTTTCCTTGTAAACATAAAACGCAACAAGAATTTGAAGGGTAATAGGCCAAGAAAAACCAATAATAACTCTTAAGATATTTTTCAATTAGACAGACAAATCAAGTTGAAGACAAGTGTTAGAATACCTTTCAGCCTGAATATCTATTGACCTATGTAACCTGTACTCCAACTGGTTTTGATGACAATTAAAAAAAAAAAGTCTTTTTATAAGAACAACCACTTCTAGAAGAAAATAAATTAGTCCCCCACCCCCAAATGAAGATAGTTTAACCTCTAAAGCATAAAAAGCTATAGAATATTCTTATACAAATTAACCAGGGTTCTTATAAAACTAATGATCTGGACTAAAGACATTATACTGTATTTGTGGTGAAGTACTAGGCAGAGAATACATGTATCAATTAGGCATTTTCACTCTAGTCAGTCTCTAAAGTTAGCATTTAATTCTTGGCAATATAACTGGTATGCATTTCAATACTTAAGCCATGAATAGTAGAGAACAAGCAGCAGTGTATTATAATAACAAGGCTGATATCTAACAGTTGTGTGTTGAACAATCTTTTCAAGAAACTATGATTTGTTTTGCAGCTGGTCAGTTGTAGTAGATCCTTGATTTGAGTCCTCCGTGTTTATCTTTTCTCCATCTGTAGTCTCTGGCATTTCTTCAGCTTCATCATCTTCATCATGTAGGTCTTTTGAAATTAACTGTCTAGCTAATTTAATATCCAGTCCCTCATTATAGTACATCTTTCTTTTCTTTTCAAACTGTCGCTTTTTTTCTTGTTCTTCAGGCGAGAGAACCTGCTCTTCCTCCTCACTGCTTTCTTTCTCCTGAATCCTATACTTTGGCTCGAAGCCTTCAGCAGCACTTAATTTCTTGGCTAAAACATCAGGAGTCATGGCTTCAGTGGCTTCAGAATCACTCAGTGTTTCATCATCATCATCACCTATCATACTATGATAAGGAGTGCTAGGTTCATCTATCTTCATTAAACCATAGTCTTTGTCTGCTGGGTGATATGTTGCCAGGATGTTCATTTCATCCCACCTCAGGGATTTTTTACTCAGCTCTTCATCCGCATTCCCGCTGGGCTGTTCAGCCGAGGACACCACAGAGGAAGCGGCAGAGCTCTTGTTCTTCAGGATACCTTTGATGGGCCGGTGCAAGGCCATCGAAGCTGCCGTAGCCCGTCGTTCCGGCTGTCCACTCAGCCTCGCTGTTTGGCACAGGATCGGAGAAAAGAAGGGCCAGGGGTGAGCAGAGACCGCGCTATGCAGCCGCGGAGCCTGGTCTGAGCCGTAGCAGCCACACCTGCTGCTTGTGGTGGAGACCACTAGCGCGTCCTTGTCACGACACAATGACCTGACGTCACAAAGGACGGGGCGCGCTCGCTGCGGCCGGCCAAAGCTTCACCCGCGGCTCGGAGAGGCCAGCGCAGAGGCCCAGCGTGGGAGCAGAGCCGACACCCCAATCTCTTCTTTAAAGCAGTTGGTATCTGGAATGTAGACCTTTTTTGTTTGTTTGTTTGATTAAGGGTCTTTTCATTAACAGTAGTAGACTGCCTCATTTTTTTGTGGCAGAAAAGCTAGTGAGTTCCATCCATTGATAATTTTTTAGTTGTCAGCCCAAAATGAAACCCGCTAAGCCACCAGGGATCCTTCCAAAGACTCAAACTTTCTTCCATCAAGTTGATCCCAAGCCATAGCAAACCTCCATATGGTTTCTGAGGTTGTAAATTCTTATAGAAGGAGATTGCACATTATTCTTTCATGGAGTATATGGTGGATTTGAACCATTGACCCTTTCAGTTAGCCACCTGAAACTTTATACACTATGTCACCAAGGCTGCTATCCGGGTTGCTTTGTTGTTGTTGTTAGGTACCCTTAAATAAACCACAATCCATAGTAACTCTTTGAACAATATATCTGAATGTTGTGTGTCAATCCATGCTGGAGTCTTCTTCTCTTTCTGTCATCCTCCACTTTTCCATGAATGATGGCCTATTTCAAAGACTAGCTCCTCCTTGCAATATGCCCACAGTACATGAGATTAAGTTTCACCATCCTTGCCTCTAAGTAGCAGTCTGGTTGCACTTCCTCTAAGACTGACTTGTTCTTTTGGCAATCCAGGGGGTGCTCAGTACTCTTCTCTAACACCACAACTCAAAGCCATTGATTTTTCTGTCATCATTATTCATTGTCCAGTTCTCAAATGCATATCAAGTGATTTAACAGGCTGTGGCTTGAATCAGGCACACCCAATCTTTAAATTTATATCATTGCTCTTCAGGACCTTAGAGAGGTCTCTCACAGCAGACTTTCCCAATGTTGTGTGTCTCCTGACATCCTGACTGCTGGTGCCAAGGGACTTAACTGTGAATCTAAGCAAGATTAATTTGTTGACCATTTCAATCTCTTCTCCATTTATCATGATGTGACCCAGTGGTAAAGATTTCTGTTTTCTTGATATTCAGATGTACTAAACATATTGAAGATTGTAGTCCTCGATCCACTGTAGTAAGTGCTTCAAATATCATTTCTCATTTTTGGGATAGGAACTCTTACACATTGTTGGTGGGGTTGTAAAATGGTACAACCACTCTGGAAGGAGGTTTGGTGTTTCCTCAGGAAGCGGAACATAGAAATTCCATATGACCCAGTGAGTCCAATGCTTGGAATATGCAAAGAGAAAATGAGAACTAAGGCACGAACAGAACCTTATACACCAACATTTATAGCAGCGTTATTCACCATTGTAAAAACATGGAAAGAGCCCAGATGTGCCACCACAATCAAATGGATTGAAAAATTATGATATATTCAAACAGTGGACCACTAGGCAGCATGCAGGAGCAATGATATTGTAAATGACTACCTAACTTGAGAGAGACTGGAGAGTATAATGCTGAGTGAACTCAGTCCCATAAGGACAAATACTGTATAAGACGATTATTGTAGAAATACAAAGATGACTAGTAAAATGTATCTGAAGATCCCAGTTCCCGGGAAGGAGGGCGTGAGCAGAAAAATGAGGATCGGCCAGGAGAGTGGAGGTGTGCTTAATAATGTTGTTGTTGTTGTTGATTGCCTTCAAGTCAAGCATGACTCATAGCGACCCTATGAACAAAAGGCCTGAAACCCCTCTGCAATTAACAACATTTATCAAAGTTCATAGAGTTTCCCAAGGCATGTTGTTTAGGAAGTGGATGCCACTCCTGCTTCCAAGGGAAGCTTCATAGTGTTGCACAGTTTGATGGGTGGAGGGAGGGGTGGGCAAAGGAAATAGTAAAGATCTGGTGTGAAAATCAATGTGTACGAATTTGTAAGTAAACCAGTATAAAAGAAAAAGCTTATTAAAAAAAATAACAATGTTGGCTCTTGGGTTTGTGTATATACTTTTGACCATGTTGAAGAAATTCTCCTCTAATCCTATTTTGTTCAGTTTTTTAATCAGGAAAGGGTGTTGGATTCTGTCAAAGGCCTTTTCTGCATCAATTGATAGGATCATGTGGTTCTTGTTCTTTGCTTTGTTAATGTGATGAATTACACTGATTGTTTTTCTTATGTTGAACCATACTAGCATACCTGTTATGAATCCCAATTGGTCATGGTGAATTATTTGTTTGATGTAACATTGTATTCTATTGGCCAGTATTTTATTAAGAGGTTTTGCATCTATGTTCATAAGAAATATTGGCTTATAGTTTTCTATTTTGGTGGTGTCTTGACCTGGCTTTAGTATCAATATTGTTCTCAATGGAGAGTGATTAAAGGCATTCCCTTTGAGAACAGGAACTAGGCGAGGAAGCCCATTATTACCTTTCCTATTAAATATTGTATTGGAAGTCTTAGTGATAGCAATAAGAAAAGAGAAGGAAATAAGAGTTATCCAAATGGGCAAAGAGGAGGTTAAATTATCTCTCTGTGAAGATGATATGATAGTATACTAAGAATACCCTAAAGACTCAGCAAGAAAACTACTGGAAATAGTTGGCCAGTTCAGCAAAGTGGCAGGATACAAAACCAACAAAGAAAAATCAATTGGATTTCGCTACAGTGACAAAGAGAATAAAATGCTGGAGCTGAGAAAAAAAACAAAAACAAAACAACAAACCTAAGCAATACCCTTCACAATAGTTAATCACAAGATTAAATACTTGGGAATAAATCTAACCAGAAGCACAAAGGGACTATTCAAACAAAATTATAAAACCTTTTTAAAAAAGGCTTTTATAAAGCCTTTTTAAAAAAAGGTGTTGGCAAAATTGGAAAACCATCTTCAGAAAACTCAAACAAGACCCACACCTCACACCAAACACAAAAAAGACTAACTCAAAGTGGATCAAAGACCTAGAACTAAAACTAAGGACAATAAACTTCATTAGAGAAAAACGTGGAAAAACTCTAGAAGCCCTAATTCACTACATGAATCTTCCAAGTATCCTGAAAAACCTATAGCCAGGATAGGATAAAATAGATGAATGGGACGTTCTAAGAATCAAATCCCTATGCACATCCAAAAACGTCTCCAACAGGGTAAAAATGAAAGACACAGACTTGGAAAAAGTATTTGGTAATGACAGGTCAGATAAGGGACTTTTATCTAGACTTTATAAAGTACTTGAGCACCACAACAAGATAAAGGTAAATAATCCAATAGAAAAATGAGCACAGGATATGAACAGACACTTCAGCGAAAAAGACATTCAGATGCCTAACCAAGCACATGAAGAAATGTTCAAAATCCCTAGCTCTAAGAGAGATGCAAATCAAAACAACTATGAGATATCATCTCACACAAGTCAGAATAGCAAAATTTAACAGAACAGCAAGCAACAAATGCTGGTGAGGTTGTGGAGAAATTGGAACCCTTATTCACTGTTGATGGGAGTGTAAAATGGTGCAACTACTATGGAAGGCAGTATGGCGCTTTCTCAAAAAGTTGGAAATAGAAATACCACCATTTGACCTAGCAATTCCACTTCTGGGAATATACCCTAAAGAAACTATAACTGCCACCCAAGCATATATATGCACACATATGTTTATTGCTGCTTTGTTCTCAAAAGTGCCCATCAACAAACGAATGGAGAGAGAAGCTGTGGTATATTCACACAATGGAATACTATGCTGCATTGAAAAACTAGGAACTCATGAAATATTATTTGAAATGGGTGACCCTGGAGGACCTTATGCTGAGTGAAATATCTCAGTCACAAAAGGACAAATCTGCATAGTGCTACTGTTGTAAAGCAGGTCTGACATCAGAGTTGGGGGGAAACTAAGAAGGGGTAAATAATGTATACTGCATTGAAACAGATGAGACAAAGGACTGTTTAGGAAGAATATATCATTAGGTATTATTGTCATGACAAGAGCCAGAATGAAAGCTGCATAGTGGAGTGGACTGTGGGAGGGGAGAGTGTATAACAATGAAAGAATTTTTTTTTTACTTTTCAAAGAGAAAAGCAAACTGTTGGGAGAGGGATAGACAGGGAGAAAAGTGTGCAACAATGAATGAATGAATGGAAAACCAAAGTCTCTGTAAAGTTTCATTTAAACAACCAACCAACCAACCAAACTAAACCCACTACACCAGCAGAGCTGGGAACCTTTGCTTTGCTCAGGCAGAAGAAAAATGAAAATTCCACAGCAAGACTATCTCAACCAATACTCTCATCTTTTATATCTGAAACAATGTTGGATAGATTCTTGTTATAATTTGTTCCTCAAATTCCATCAAGCCATTCTGCCTGCTTGAATAAAATCATGACCATTTTGCTACTTGTAGTGGCGTTCACTTTCGAAATCGCTTGCCTCCAGAAGCTCTACGAACATGGAGAAATGATAAAAGCTATACAAGTGTTTAGATCTTTCGTTCATGGGGTCGCTATGAGTCGTCTATGACTCGAAGGCACCTAACAACAACATTTGTCACTATAGATATAGTACTTACGAATAGAAACACTTTACTCTTTATTTAAATTATTCCTTTTACTTCATTATCATCCCATACATATTCCATCAGCCTGGATAGGGTTTTAAACACACTCAAAATGCTAGTGGTAGCTTTTGCTAACAGCACTTTGAATATGTTATATATCTTGTAGTTTGCATCCCATCAGAAAAGCAAAGAATTTCACTTTGGAAAAAAAAACCCACAACTTTTTCAATTCCACTAGTAAAAAGTATCTGTTGACTCTGAGGTGTGTAATTGTCGCTAAAGTCAAGAAGAGACAACTCTTCTGGACCAGAAAAAGAAAATAAGATTCATGAGAAACTGTTTATTCTCTAGAAATAAAGTTTAAAAGTTTTCCAAAGATATACAGAGTTTATTCCTTTCCTTGAATATCCCAATTTAAAAGAATGAAATGCAGTTTCACAGTTTTTAAATGCAAGAAATCTCAAGATTGTTCTCTACCTGGAGTTTAGGAGTTTGATCTTCAATAAGTTTGTTTGATGTTCTGTTACCTGCCTCCCCAAAATGAAGTAGATGCAATGTTAAGTATTGTTAGGAAGTTTATAAGACTCTTGAATGTATTAAAATGTGACCTGTGGGTAAGGATT